ATTTAAATATACAGAATATGCCACAAAATCAGACTAACACTGGGTATTGCACCAAGTGGTGTATTCCATGTATACATACGCTCAAGATCTTTAGATTTTCCTCCTTCTGAACAGCCAATGTGACTGCACTAATGACTGGTCCAGCAATTACCATACACTAGCATTTATACAATTTCAATTTAACTCATGCAATTTGTGTACAGAGTATGTATACAAATATAAACAAATAGTGCTTCTTGAGAGTGAATGCCTTCCCATAGGGAAGCTATCAATCCAAAATGGAGTTCCAATTTTCTTCCAGTCCACAAGTGATTTTGTAGAGGACAGATCTTGTATCTGAATACTTATACTATGCTACCAGAACACAAGGTGATCTAAACTTCACCTGTTAACATACATTACATACACAGTTGGAATCTTATTCTTGTACTGCAATTCAAATGATGTACAACATTTGGGCTACCACACAGCCAGTAAGTTATGCATTTACATTTACATTTCCCATGAATGTATTTACAAACAAAAAAATTATTTAGACCTACTTCAGATCACACAGAAAAACATGACTTAAGCAGACTTTCCAATTATACAAATACTCAAAGATAACTGGCTTGTAGGTTACGAGCTCAGGCTATGTACTATCTCAAATTATGAAGAAACAATAAAATGATCTAAAGACAAACAGTTAAGTCTTTTGCATCCTGTGACCTCAGGACTGTGGTATTATAAGCCATGATTCAGAGCATGACTCTGACAATGTTGTTCCAGCTGAGCCTGTGGAATGTCAGCCTCAGGAATCATTAAGCCATGATACATCTGAAGCTGATCAGCCACAGGCATCTCCTGATCAGCTGGAGCAGTTGGATGATGAGGCACGGCCCCAAACCCCAGATCCAGACACATGCAGCTGCAAGCAAAGCAGGTCAATCAATGAGACTCCTCGCAAGGCAAAGAGCAAGGCCTGAGTGATTGCAGACAGCTGCTGGCAGAAAGATTTATGTAGCTGCTTTGGTTTGGTCTCTGCTGGAAACAACCATTTGGAATTCCTAGCTTGTGACTTATGTTCCTGACTTCTGAATTGGCTGACTACCTGATTTAGCTTTGCGACTTTTTGCAATGTAACTAGACTACTCTTTTGCTACCCAGACTGCAAACGGTACTTTTTAGGCAAATGTGCTTTGCTAAGTCTTTGCTTTACAACCTGTCTGCTGTTATCTGCTTCTGCTCTTTAGCAACTGTGTCTGCTGTTACCCTGAAACAGAACAGGTATTCTATTCGCTCTGCTTCATTCTCCATGGCTATTACACTCCTTTCTTTCAGGAAAATTAAAATGAACATGGCACTGAAGAGTTAAAATAGGGCTAAAAGATATTAGTAAACATCTGTCTTTCGAGTTTTGAAAGTTACATACTGTACTAATTAACATGAGTGAATCACTTGGGATAGAAACCAGCTGTCCCAAGACACTGGTGCATTTTGAGTTGCAGGATGCCAAGAGTAAGAGAATACAACATCTTTACATTTAACAAGTTCCACTGCATTATCAGTTCCTAGCAGAGCTTACTTAGGCAGGCTAGAGATCTCTACAGCATTATGACACATTGTGTTAGGACACAGGGAAGCAGCGAAAAGATATAAAGCAAGGCTGCACTTCTAAATAATTACCAAGAAACCCAGAGCAAAGGGAGGTATAGCATAGTGTGACTAAAATTAAGCTGCATTAAAAAAGACAGGCAGAGGCACACATGCATAATTTACTCTAATAATTTTAAGCCACAGAGGCTATTGGGTTCTGTGCTTTCATGCTTTTAAGAATGTAATATTATTTCAGCAAGCAAGGTGTCCTCCAGGGAGGTGTATATATCAAAGAGCACTATGATAAACTCCTTATTCAGCTGAAGTTTCTTTAATTAATGCATAGTTATTGATGTTGGTAAAAAACCAAAACAAACATCCACCCATCCATCAGGTTCCTAGATCTTCTGCCTCTTGCCCAAGCTTTGCTTATTCCCCACGTTCAGCCTGATACTGAGGAGAGTTCATAATCACTGGATGAACTGAATTGCCTTTCAATTTTCCTTTGTTCCTTGATCTTCTGCGTTACATCGGTTTTCTTCTCAAAGTAGTTTACTAGGACTGACTCTGTAAGGATAGAGGCTAAAATGTGTTCAAAGGAGATGGACCAGTCTGTATCAATGGTGCTGCCACATCGTGCAGCTGAGCTGCCTGCCTCACAACCAACCAGAACCGTATCATCTGCAATATCTTCACACTGTAAGGAGCCTGTGCTAACCATAGAATATGAAGACATAGACATATCATCTTTAGTTTCGTCATCTGAAAAGAGCTGTATGGGAGATCCTGGACCTTCACCTCCTCCGTCTACAAAAATCTGATTTTCCTGTTGATTTTTCTCAGCCTGAATGTCCCCAGAAGCTTTGCCTTCTGGAGTAGCCTGAGAATATTGCTCCATGATTGAACTCTGACTCTGATCAGAAGCTGGAGACTCTTTACTTACAGGGTCCTTTTTAACAGGCTGATGACAGAACTTTTTGCCAACCTCCCCAATTCGTAGGAGAAGGCTTGCAACAGTGGCAATGGCATGGTACAGTTCTTGCTCCAAAGAATCTTCACTGAACATGTTATATAGGGTCTTGCACAATTCTATAAATTGTTCCTTAAAAAGAAAAGGACATATGATAGCAATTAATAAGGTGATTTTTTTTCAAACTAATAATGCAAAAGTAACAAGTCCAATTCTAACAGATGCTCTCTTAATCCTCTCAAGTTTACAGACCAACAATAGCATAGTAAATTCCCATTTGAGATATTCACGCTGTAACACTATAGACAATTAAATGTTACATATTAATCATTCAGAATAAAAACTTCTGTTAATATAAAAGCCATAACTTATTTATATGCCCTGATACAATATGACTGGGAGTGAATGTGTTGGTCAAATTCACCAAGCAATGATAAAATAAATTTTCACTCCTGTGGAAATGACAATATTTTCACTTTGTTAGAAAGTCATCTGGTTTAGATAATTAAAATGAGGATAAGTATGCATGTATACCAGAGTACATTAGTGACCACTAATCCATTTTTAGATTGGGGTGAGTTTAAAACTATTTTCCATAATCACAAATTGTGTACCTACTTATCTTATGTAATCATGTATGAAGTCTACTTTATTGTTTTGAATCTGTTTTATTTGTAATGCTAAAAAAACCCAAGCAGTTAATTCATTTTTTTGTGTGTGTTACCGCAATCCTAATAGCTGGGGTCTATTCAAATTACCTCTCATATCCTTGTTTGGTGATGCTAATGTAAGAGTTAGAATTATCTCTAAATAAAGATGTTACTTTTTGATTGTCTTGGTCATTCCATAATTATAAGGAATGCAAATGTGGAGTTCAAATCTCTTGTAAGGCTATGCTTTTTCAGTCCATTGTCTGGGGAGGGAGAAAGCCAAAAGAAAAAGAAGAAATTCTGGCTTTAGACTCCCACCTATACTACAGGGATAGAGTGTTCTACAACAAATTATCCAAGAGTAATATTTTACATAGTGCTAAATTATTCAAATATGGCAAAGGGCAAATCACTTCATTTTTTCTTCCTTGGTCCTGATAACATGACAATTTTCCTTAAAGGGAATAACAACATCTCAAACCAATAAAAACAGTTAACAATAATAAAAGCTTTCAAGCTTTCTAGCTTGGTTTAACATTTTGAAACTCTCTATTTCAAAGACACCTTTTTAAACCTATAGATTCTCCAGTAAGTTTCTACCTGACTCATTTTAGGGAGATCTTTGATCGTTTCTTTTCTGGCATCCTTCTCCTTGGCCCACATTCGCAGGTGGTATCTGTAATCATGAGGACTTGTGCCCTTCTCTGCAAGGAAGATTAATCCAATATAATTAATGCACATTCATGAATTCTGATAATGTCAGCATTACCTGGGAATTTCTTTTAGAGCAGAACATCTTCTTTAAGGAAACTACCAACAATAAGAAAACTTCATTACCTTGATCTTTGGACTCCCCTTCTCTTGCTGATTTATCTCCGTGAACATCTGTTTCTACAAAATCAAACACAATAAAAATAATGGATATTTTTATTACAAGTAGGGCATGAAACAGAGCAAATGAATGTTGACCCTAATACTGCATGTACACTGAAGTAGATGTAATGAAGCTCCTGGATCAAAGTTAAGGGAAGACTTTTACAGAAAAAAAGTTGTACAACACACTAAAAATAGGTGAGGTCTCTAATTCAATTTCCTTTGCCCTGGAAATAGTTTTTAACCCTTTAAAAGCTGATTCTGCTTTTTTAAAACCACACAAGGAAATTAATTTAACCAAATATTTGTCAGCGAAGCTCTCTAAACTTAGAATTTAAAAAAAAGGTGGGCAGCATTGCTGAACAAAAGTAGGTCAAATGGGCTAATTAAAATTACTGTCCATTATTGTCTTTATCTTTCCATTTTTTCAAATGCACTGTGAAAAGAAAACAATAGAAGAAAAGCCAATGGATTCTCACTTGCAGATGCTTTTGTTACAGAAACATCAGGTTTCCCCACCCTAATACCCTCCAGGTATATTGGGCCTTAGTTCCTTGAAATCCCATGCATGAGAATTCTTCTATAGTCCCAGTGCATCTGAAGCACGCTAAGCTGGAGAAGACAGCCCTGTATTTGAATACTTTTCATCCTGGTACACTGGGGGATGGGAAGATATGGGGGTAAGCAAAAATGTAAATTAAGTAAAATAAGTAGTAACCAGATATTTTAAAATTCAGAAAACAACAGCAATGCACTGACAGGACAGACTTCAAATAAAATTACAAATGATGTGATAACAGAGATTCTCTAATAGGCAAAATACAAATAAAGAGAATCAGAAAGTTCAATGAATATGAAATTTAATGTGGCCACAAACTGATGCCCTCTTTTTAATTACATGCTTTAAATGGGATCAGGCAAATCCTTTTTCAAAAAGCACACCTAAACACGATAAAAACAATCTTCAAAGAGAGTCATTTGATTATCAGACTCCAGAAACAAGGAGCAAAACATGGTATGTGGTATGGTTATCTCCAGAAAGCCTGCCCAGTGAATCTGACTCTTCCTTTTTGAAAATAAAAGGTGGTACCGGATAATCCAGAAAATATAAGTAGTGTTCATATTAAGAAAATATTAACAAGGTCTTCTAGAAGAAGAAACTACATCAGTTACATGTTTGATATGGCAAGAAAAAAACAAAAAAGACTGCAACATCACAATGTATAATGACCAGCAGGAAAAAATGGAGTAAATCACAAAAGCTAATTTAAAATAAAAGCATTTTCTTCTAGAAAAAAAAATCTCAGTGCTTTAACCTGAGATGGAAACTTTGCCCCCTGATAAAAGGAAATAAAAGGACATCCATGGAGGGGGCAGGAGATGGTCCCCTTCCATGGAATTACTCTAGGTCAGCATAAAAGAATCTGAAGTCTCCTCCACAACTGAATCTTTTCAAATTTTATGGTGGAAAATGCAGGTAGTCATGCCTTGCTTTCATCCCCAAAGAGCTCCTATCTACAACAAACTGGGTCCGAGACAGTAAGCACTTGAGGTTGTCTAAAGTGAATGCAAATGTATGGAACAAACTAAAAGTGATTTTCATTGGGGTATGTATGTGTTTCAAAAGCCAGTTATTTTAAAATCTCCAACCACTTATGGAAAGAAGTTGGAAGTAACAGAGCCAGAATAATCATAAAACTGACATCCTGTAATCAAGCAAAAAAGAGCTCACTTCAGTTGATTAAACAGGAATTTCTGTATTTTCAAACTTGAGATTTTACTTTTCTTTCAAGTGAAGCCACAGTTGATTCATGACGTCCCAGCCAAGATTGCGATGACTTGGACATTAGACATTAAACTGACTTTCTTTGCAAATTTCACTTGTTCCTGCTTCTTGTTGGGGTTGGATATTTTTGCTTACTAATGGGAATTTCAATCTCCTGGTATCCTGCATTTGGTCTGGGTGAGATCAATATTCCAACCTCTAAGCCCAAGAACCCCCTCCCCAAAATAGTTATGCAACAGTTGGATTCTCTGACAGTTACTACACAAATGGCCATGGAGGTGCAGAGCCCAGTGGATGGATGGAAGGGGGTGGTCACATAGCAGATCTACCAGGCCAACTGGAGCTCAGCAGATTGCTGACCACAAAACACCTCCTCCATGCACCTCCTCCATAGTAGAAGACTCCCCAGGGGTCTTCTACTATGATAGCTGGGAAAGGGTACTTTCCTGTTCAAATACCTTGGATTTGCTTCAGCCTGCCTCAGCAGTGGACTTGCAATGAGATGGACTCAACATCAAAAAAGATGCGTGGGGCAGGCTTTGTGAAAGAACACAAGTACATGACTTTTTATATTGAAAACATTTCTAAAAGCTTTTGTTTAGCTTTGGAGTATTGGCCAATGATTTGCAGCTTCCCCCTGCTGCTAGTTATACACTATTATCAGATTAATTTTCAAAGTTGTTCCTGTGCAGTGGGTTTGAAACAGGGGAATAATATGACTAAGGAAATGAAATACTATGGCTGGCTGCTTTGCTATAATAGCTGTGGCTTGGAGAAATTCTAAAAGAGTTTCATTTTATATTAAGCAGGTCACTTTAGCACATCAATAGCAGCCCATATTTGCCCAGCTGTTCAGACTAACCTTGAGAATCACAATGCAGGAAGAGATCCAGTTCTGAGACAAAAGGAGATACTAGAGAGCAAAGGGAAGAGAGAAAGAAAGAAAGAATAAAGGCTTTGAGGACAGGGAGAAATTCAGGAGGAATGAGTGTGAGTCAAAATATAGAACAAGAGAGAGAAACCGAGAAAGGAACAAGTTATAAAAGATTTGAGCAAGAACCTTGGGCTGGAAAAAAGTGATAATTAGTCTGACCTATGTTTCACATACAAATAACCTATCCCCCATAATCCATGACAGAGACTAGAGCTGTTGGGGGATAATATTCTGATAGAAGAGGAAGTAAGAAAACAATTCTGCTTTGCGACAATGTATTTGCATGCCCACTTTCCCAAATGGATAAAACCACTCATTTTTACCTTCAGTAGTGTTATCTTCTGTGAAGTAACTTGCAGCCTCCAGAGCAGACTCTGCTTCCTCTGGACTGAGAGCTATACAAAGAGAAAAAATGTTATCGAATGTAAACTTTGTTTCCTTAGGAATTACTCATGATAGCTCTAAATACCTTTCTCTGATTACTGGACTTGAGTTGATGACCTGTATCCAATGGAATCCTTCCACTCAGAGAAGGCTCTCTGATCCAGCAGAAACTTCCACAAACAAAAAGGGAGGAAGCATTTTTAATACATTCCCCTTTTCTTCTACAACTGTTCTGTCCACCCTCCAAATCTGTTCTGGAGGATTTGGGAGCCTCTGAAACAGCACTGGAGAGATAAGTGGGTTGTAGGAGAAACAGGAAATTTGGAGGAACAAAAGCCTCCTTTTCAGAATGGGAAGCCTGCTTTTATTTGTTCAGGTAGTAGCCTGTTAAATTTCTTCTAAGGCAATTTCTAACTGCATAAATAAATAAAAACGAAGTAACCCTTAATTGACTGACAGTTCTCCAGGGGGTGAAGTTTTAGGATACTGCAGAAGTGGTACAGAGGTACACTGCTATTGGTGGGTGATGTCAGGCTTTACATGTCAACTTGGCTGCTAAGCTCAGATTGGCTGAAGTATTTCAGAGACATGACATGGCATAACTCGCTAAGAATCTTTACTGCAAACTGGAATGTAGCCACACTGAACAGTTGATTGCCCTCTGTCAGCATGAAGATGCAGTTTCCCTCTTACATCCATGGCAGCTTAAACCCATCGCTTCTTCTGGTCTTTCCCATATTTCAACTGACTCTTTGCCCTACGGCCTTTCAGTTGAATAGCTGTTGATAGTCATAACTGAAATCTCTGTCTCTCACCTCACTTCCCACAGGGGATACATTTGCTTTGGGGGTTTCTGTTACAGTTGTGGCAAGTTCTGCAAGCATAAATCTATTGTTGCATCTGCTGATGCTAAACCCCAGCATGCTGAAGGTGGCTTCGAGTCACTTTTCTACAGCTCTTACCTTCCACCAAGAAGTCCCCAACATCTTAGAAAAATTGCCACCCCCACATTCTGCTCAGTTGGTATGAGCTGGTGGGGTTATTTCTCCACTTAGTTTACTAGTGTATCTTTCTCACCTATGTTATGTGCCGTGCTGTTTTTAGAGCAATTGTAACTGGAGTTGGGAAAATCTAAGTGCCTTACCTCTTCCTCATTACAAGAATGAACCCAAATGAGCCTTGCATATTCTTCTTTTTAACCCCAAATTCCAATCAGAGCGCTAGCCACCTTACTTTGAACTAGCCAAACTATCTTCAGGAGAAGTCAAACATACAATACATTATAAAAATATAAATGAGATACTACCAATGCACAAATCAGAGAAGCCAGGCTACCTCTATCCAAAAGAATCATAATTGGTGTAATAGCCTAACATGGTAAAAGATGATCTATGTTACAGAGAATATCTGAGATGTTAATGACAAAGATGAATCCATTAAGATAGCCAAAGTACAAATCTGATCCTATTAATGGAAGTGTAATCTTCTCCAGAAGTTGCCAGACAGAGGTACTAAGAGCATTTCTGTCTTGCCTGGACTAAACTTCAGTTTATTGGCCCTCATTCAATTCATTATCATGGCCAGGTACTGATTAAGCATTTCCATTGCCTCCCTTGAATTTGATGAAAAAGAGAGCTCTGCAGTCTGAATCTCCTGATGATTTTACTTAGTGGCTTTGTGTTAATCAGCACAGAATGGCAGGGTTCTGTGAAACCATAGCAGAAACGCCACCAGGTTAAACATAAGTCCCCTAATATGCCATCTGAAGATAGCCATCCAAGTGTAAGTGGGATCAGTGGAAACCATCCACATCTCATATAGACTGCTCTTCTAGAAGAATATATTGGCCAAAAATTGCTGGAAGGACAAGGAGAATCAACAGGGTCCCTCTTCCAGCAAAAATCACCCCACAGGACAAACAAGGCAATTGCTATGTCAAAGCTAAGCATAAACCCTGAATTGTTAGAACATGGATTAGTTCAGCCACGACACAGTCAGGCACCTTGTCCAGAAAAAAGCATATAAATTGTTCAGATCTCCTGGATCCAAGTTTGTTTTTCCCTAATAAGTGGTTCCATTATCATTTCCTTTAAAAAGCCTGGAACAACTTCTTCTTTCATGGAGGAATTTATAGACAAACTTGATCATCATCTTTAGATTTAATGAACCATGACAGATAAGGGTTGGGCAAACAGATGGTTGGCCATATTGTACATAGCATCTCATTCACATCCTTAGGCCCTAAAAACAAGCTCTAACCTGGACAAACCATAAACTGAATTACTGGAACTGATGCCACATACAAGTGATTTTTCTCCTCATAATGTCTTGCAAATGTCACAACATTTTAACCAATGTTTCATCAGATCTCTCACTGAGCTGAAATACAAAAGGCTCTGAAACATTCATAAAAGCTCCACTGGATAACCCTTAGAATATGCAAAAGTGAAGGGAAAAAATAAAAAGCTTTTTCACCTCCATAGCTTTCACTTATACAGGCAATCCTCACTTAGCTACCACAATTGGGACGTGCAACTTTGTTGCTAAGTGACATGGTCACTAAGTGGAAAATCATGTGACCGTGGCTTGCAATTTTACTTCCACATTCTCCATTAACTCTGCTTGTTGCGAGCAGGCTGGGAAGCATGCTTGTAAATTTGCACCGGTTGTTAAGTGCCCAAATGGCAATTACATGACCACAGGATGCTATGACTGTCATAAATGCAAGTATTAGTCACAAAGCTTCTTTTTTACACTGTTGTAACTTCAAATGGTCATTAAACAAAGCAGTCAGTAACTGAGAACTACCTGTTTTCAGCTGAATTTAAAACAACATTCCTTCTACTTGAATTCTGATCATCTCTCAGTCTACCTTTCTTCCCTCAGCAAAGACATATACCCAGGAGATAAATGGACTCTGTGAAGAGAAGAGCATGCTAGGAAGTGCTCATGTCAACTACCTGGGTTACTTTTATATTTCACAGGGTGATCAGGGCTTCAACACTAGTACTGCACTAGAGCCCTCTGGAATACTTCCACCATTTTAATAGGTCCTCACACTCAAAAGAGAGGCATCGTAAGTGCAAATCTACATTTCAGTAGGAAGTGGTTTGACCCCCATCTTCCTTTCTGTAGGAAAAGATATGACACTTAACTAGAAACAAGCCCAACAACCCAAAGCACTTCCCAAATATTTAAAGGTTATTCTGCAAAGCTACTAAAATAATGCAGGGATGAAAAAGTTCACACAAAATTAAAACTGTATGTGAGAAAGTCCTATGCCATATGAATATTCTAATGAATATGTTCACTAATTAACCACATAAATTAATCCATACCACTTAAGTCAATTAAAATTTACAGGCAAACATATATAATTAAAAGCTGTCTCTCGGGGCTACATGTCATATGTTAAATAAGTAGAATAACGCTGTCTTCTCTTTTTATGGTAATGGGCCAATCCTAACTAAGATTATCATGAGAAGAATGGCTAAACCCACTTATTCCCACCTCTCAACACAGCACATAAAGAAAAAATGTCAGTTTCTGCCAATCAGTTTTTTTTCCGTTAATTTGAGGGGGGATGGAGAGGTTAAAGCCTCTCCTACCTATGTACACTAAGTCTCCACACTATATAAAATAAGTAGCATTATATATATTCTTATGGATAGAATACTGTAACCATTTATATGTACTATCAGCCTAATAAATTCGATAGAACCTACAAACAGCCTTAAGAAATTGTAATCCTTAACTACCACCAACAGAAGTTTCAAAGAAATGGATCACCTGGAGGCAAATGTAGTTTGTAAAGGAGTTTCAGCTTCTCAGTCAGATCGCCATGATACATTCCACCTGTTAGGATCAGAAGACATACCTAGATTTTAGAAGTACTCCTAGATTGCCTTTTTTTCCTGTTGGATTCTGATGCCTAATACAGTGGGGCAAAAAAGTATTTAGTCAGCCACCAATTGTGCAAGTTCTCCCACTTAAAAAGATGCTCACCGTTCTTGTGATCATTTTGACCCCACGGGGTGAGATCTTGCGTGGAGCCCCAGATCAAGGGAGATTATCAGTGGTCTTATATGTCTTCCATTTTCTAATTATTGCTCCCACAGTTGATTTCTTCACACCAAGCTGCTTGCCTATTGCAGATTCAGTCTTCCCAGCCTGGTGCAGGTCTACAATTTTGTTTCTGGTGTCCTTCGACAGCTCTTTGGTCTTGGCCATAGTGGAGTTTGGAGTGTGACTGTTTGAGGTTGTGGACAGGTGTGCTCACCGTTCTTGTGATCATTTTGACCCCACGGGGTGAGATCTTGCGTGGAGCCCCAGATCAAGGGAGATTATCAGTGGTCTTATATGTCTTCCATTTTCTAATTATTGCTCCCACAGTTGATTTCTTCACACCAAGCTGCTTGCCTATTGCAGATTCAGTCTTCCCAGCCTGGTGCAGGTCTACAATTTTGTTTCTGGTGTCCTTCGACAGCTCTTTGGTCTTGGCCATAGTGGAGTTTGGAGTGTGACTGTTTGAGGTTGTGGACAGGTGTGCTCACCGTTCTTGTGATCATTTTGACCCCACGGGGTGAGATCTTGCGTGGAGCCCCAGATCAAGGGAGATTATCAGTGGTCTTATATGTCTTCCATTTTCTAATTATTGCTCCCACAGTTGATTTCTTCACACCAAGCTGCTTGCCTATTGCAGATTCAGTCTTCCCAGCCTGGTGCAGGTCTACAATTTTGTTTCTGGTGTCCTTCGACAGCTCTTTGGTCTTGGCCATAGTGGAGTTTGGAGTGTGACTGTTTGAGGTTGTGGACAGGTGTGCTCACCGTTCTTGTGATCATTTTGACCCCACGGGGTGAGATCTTGCGTGGAGCCCCAGATCAAGGGAGATTATCAGTGGTCTTATATGTCTTCCATTTTCTAATTATTGCTCCCACAGTTGATTTCTTCACACCAAGCTGCTTGCCTATTGCAGATTCAGTCTTCCCAGCCTGGTGCAGGTCTACAATTTTGTTTCTGGTGTCCTTCGACAGCTCTTTGGTCTTGGCCATAGTGGAGTTTGGAGTGTGACTGTTTGAGGTTGTGGACAGGTGTCTTTTATACTGCATCTTTTTAAGTGGGAGAACTTGCACAATTGCTGGCTGACTAAATACTTTTTTGTCCCACTGTAACTATGACATCGGTAAGTTTAGCTGATAAAGTTTTTCCTGTTCCCATGATTATCTTAGAGAAGTTAAAGCTTGTTCTTATTCTTCTTTTCTCAACATGATTCATTTATTTATTTCAATACATATATTTATTTGCCATCTCTTCTAGCAACTCCAAGTGGCTTATAGTCTATGAAACTAAAAATATCCATAAATCACCATTTAAAAAACCACAGTAAATACAATAGTAAATACTATTAATAAAAACCATTAGATAAAAAATTTCTACCTGAATACCTTCCCAAAGAGGACTGTCTTCACCATTTTTCCTAAAGGACAAAAGAGTAGGGACACACAGGGGGCATGTTACTCCAGAGAGAGGGGCCAACAGTGAGAATGGCATTCTATGGGTTCCAACCTGCCTAGTCTCTTTTAGGTGGGCACCCAGACCATTCTCTCTCTGCTAGAACATTTAAAGCAGGCAAATTCCACTTGGAAAAGACAGTTCCATAATAAGGGCCCAAGCCATATATGGCTTTACAAATAATCAAATTGGGCCTGGAAACCCACTAGCAACTAATGCAGATTGGAGGCTGACTAATAATTATTTAAGATGGCAGAGTCAAGAAATGGCTTTCTAAGGAGTGGGACCATCACTGTCTCCTTCAAGGTAGGCAGCAATGTACCTCCCACGAACAGTACATTCACCAGCTCCTGTACCCATGCCATCATGCCCTTTCTGGTTTGCAAATCGTATAAGAGTGGCAAGAGTCTAATTTGTAGGTGCTGAACTCATCCTACAGATTTCCTCATTGAAAAAATCCCAGATAATCTTGCATGATGTTACCCCGTTATTTCATGAGACTATCAGATAGTGTCCAACTCAGAGTGAATATGAGTGATTCTGTCCTCAAAGTGATTAGCAAACTGCTCACAAAGGCCAGCAGCGCAATATTCTGGTGTCCCAGGATCCAAAAGGGAATGGGTCACTCTAAATAAAACTGCTGTTCTGCACTCCATAGATACAATAAATGTGGAGAAGAATTGGTACCCTGCCACCTTATTGCCATGATGTATACCTGAATATGGGCTTGTGTATACATCTGGTAATCACTCCTCCTTGTCAGTATCATTCCAGGCATCTCCTTTGACACTTCACCCACAGGATTGGTGCCCAATCAAGCCCCCTGGCTCTCTCTAAATTCTAGAGATCAACCAGGTGCCCCACAAAACTACCCACTAGATCATTGGGAAACTCCACAAGCACCTGTCAGCAACCAAGTGAATCCATAAGGCAACTGGAGTGGACTAATTTAAGAGGTCCATTCCATCTGTCACAGGTGGTGGGTGTGAGTCTCTAGGCAACCAGATGGTGATATATCTATAAAATCAGACTGATGTTGATCCCCACCATTAGATTACATGTCAGTTGCTCTGAGGCAAAAAGCAGATCCAATATATGTAAGCTAGTGCTGTGATGACTTGCAGCAAGATGACCAAGTAGGCCTATGTAACACTACTACTATAGGAGTTGCACTGGTTGTCAGTTTGCAGGTGTAATTCAAAGTGCTGGTTATTGTTTTTAAAGCCCTATACATTAGCCCCATTAGGTAGACCTGAGCTCCAGAAGACAATCAACTCCACAGGAAGGCTAAGACTAGTCTCACTGACAGCAGCTACAACAACAGAATCTTGCGAGTCTGATTGTGCTATGCCTCCTCCCCTTGTTATACACATATTTACACATACATTCTGCTTATTTTCTCCTTGTTGTTTTAGTGATGGATCTGGCCTATCTCTGTCAAGGTCATCTTCCTTACTCTCTATGCTATATGACTTAGGGCCTGGATATGTTTAAGACTGCCTTCTCTGGGTTGAGTTTGCCTGTCTAGTAAGAGCGGGAACAGAAGGCTTATTAAGGGGCCCTCCAGTGAGGAAATGCCATCTAATGAGACCCCATAATTGAACTTTCAGTGCTGGCCCCCCTTCTGTGGAACAGTTTGCCCCCAGATGTGTGGACTGCCCTGAAGAGCTGTGAAGACATATCTCAAGTATTTCAGTACAATAAGGATTAAACCCTCCATTTGGGTGTTGCAACTAGTAGATATTTGTTATTATATTGTGATAATATTATATTATGGTTTTTAACTTTTTGTTATTGCTGGATATAAGCTGCTCAGAGACTTCAGAAGCCGAGTAGCATAGCAGACTTCCAGGGGAGGTATGGTGAACTGAAGACATCTCTGTGAAAGCAGAGCCAATAACTGCGGCAAAGTCCATGGAACTGGTGAGCAGACTGGCTCCTTCGAACCCCTCTGGATAAGGAAAGGACAGATCGCCTACGTGCCAGACGGCTGCTCCTCGTCAGGAGACCGCAGGACAGTGGTTTTCCATAGGTATGAGCGCCATAAAAAAAGGGATTAGCCATCTTGCTTGCAACTGTGGCAGAGCCTTTTAAAGGACACTAAGTTGACAAACCTCACTTTCTAATCACTTTTGGAAATTGCCTATTAACCATTTTAAAGCTATTAGAGACTTTCTAAACAACAGGTTTGAAAAGTCATCAGGTGAGTTTTATTTTCAATTCTGAACAAAGGAAAAATTAATTATAAGCTTAAGAACTTAAGGAGTTTGAAATAGACAGCAAAAAGCTAAATAAGATTTTGATCTAAGAAAGTTATAAACAGATTGAGGCTCCAGATAAATTTGGAATATTGACTTTTACTATAAGATTTTGGACTTAACTATAAAAAATGAATAGCTTCTCGTGGGAAACAGACCTATTTTGGCTATCCTGGCTATTGTAAGCCATAACAAAGATAAGTTACTTTATGATTTCAGAAACTCGACACTAGACATTAAAGATTCTAAACAGAAGGGAAAAAAAATACAAACCTGTTCTTGATGTCAGTTAATACAGGGACTTACAAAATGACACAAAACAATATAACATCGGAAACATTAAAGGAGATCTTTGAAGAATGGAGCCAGAAATTAGTAACTACATCAACACTGTCAGTAATGATGTCTGCTTCTATGGATAGATTACAGATAGTCCTTGACTTATGACCACAATCAGGACCAGAATGTCCATCAGTAAGTGATGCAGTCGTAAAGCGAGACATCACAGGACCACATCGCTTAATAATGGCAATCCCAGCAGCTGTTGTTAACCAAGAATTGTGGGTCGTTAAGTGAGTATCCACCCCAATACGAGCCATTCCAGGCTTGGTCCCTCCCAGCCCCGAGCCTCAATAAAGTAAGGGGCTGCCTTCAACTTCCCCCACCTGCTATCTCCCTGCCACCTCTGCCCTTTTGGCTGCCCTGCACCCTGCCTTGCAGGGTGGCAAGAGGCCCCAGAACCGCGTGGCTCTGGGGCTGCTTGTCACACCCCAGGAAGCCGTAGCCACCCCAGCCCAGTCCCAGCCACAGTCACCCTTGCCACCCTGTACTCTGAGAACCCTGTCGCCCTGTGCTCTGCCGCCTCAGCTGACCTTTGCCATCTTCTTGCTCCCACTGCTGACAAGGCTGCTGGGACAGGCCTGGGGCTGGGCTTCACACTGCAGGAAAAAAAAAAACCCAAAAAGCAGCTCTAGAGCTACGGCACACCAAAAAGCCCCTTTGTGCCTGGGGCCAAGCTAGGGCAGGGCTTCATACTGCCAAAAAAAAAAAAAGTAAAAAGCAGTCCTTGAGCTATGGTGTGCCAAAAAACCCCTTTGCGCTGTAGTCAGGGGCTGCTTTTTACTTTTTTTCGCAGTGCGAAGCCCAGCCCCAGTTTGGCCCAGGAGCGCAGCACAAAGGGGCTTTTTGGTGCACTGTGGCTCTGGGGCTGCTTTTTCCCCCGCCCCCCTACAGCGTGAAGCTCAGCCCCAGCCAGGCTGGGTATACCTCATTAGTAGCGGGAGCAAGAAGATGGTGAAGGTCAGCAGGGGCAGTGGAGCACAGGGAGGCAGGGGGCGAAAAGGATGTAAATGGGGAGAGATAGGCAGGTGGGCGGGTTGAAGCGCCCCCGCAGTCATAAATGCAGGCAGGCTGCCAAGTGCCCAAAATTTGATCACATGACCGTAAAGTGCTGCAATGGCTGTAACTTTGGACATGGGTCGTAAGTCCTTCGTTCAGCGCTGCTGTAACTTTGAACAGTTGCTGAACAAATAGTTGTAAGTCAAGGACTAGCTGTATGTATTGTCGAAGGCTTTCACGGCCGGCATACGATGGCTGGTGTGGGTCTTCCAGGCTGTTTGGCCGTGTTCTGGAATTTTTTTTTCCTTATGTTTCGCCAGCACCTGTGACCGGCATCTTCAGAGTGCAGGAGCACAGACAGGAGTAGTTACACACAGATTCTGACACCAAAACAAGCAGCCACTCAGTAACCCA